ACGACATATAGGTACACCTAAATAACTCACATCTGTCACTAGACATTTACATAATTTTCATGGTTCAGACATAAATATATCTAAAAGCAATCGGTTAGGTATATATTATAGCAACAAAATAACCGGGTGAAGATTTGTGTTTTTGATCTGAATTCCCAAAATTAATGTGTATTGGCCTGTCTGTGTTTAGTCGGCCGACGGAAGTATGTATGTAAACGAGAATATTACAATATAAAATGCTGGCACGTAAACGCGATGGTCCCTGAAAATTTGTTTAAGCACATGTAAACGCGCGCCGAGCGAGATGTGATGCGAGGCTCAGTTTAGGTGTGAAGGTCAATGACCGATAAGGTTGGCGTTACGTCGACCTCTCTTTTCCCCTCACTTCGGCCACTATCGCCAACCGACCTATCAGCAAATATGTTGCCAAATACCTACTGTGCAGGGCGGCCGGTGAGCTCAATACGTCTGTGACCGATGTTGCCAGCTCATAATCCGGGTTCAAACATTCGGTGATTGCGTGATATTTGTTCGGAACTAGCATTGTTCTCAATTTGTTATCGTTTGAGAGATATTTTTCCGGGATATAGCGGTAGCATTAGAGCAGTGGGTGGGCCGAGGAGCAGTGGCGAGCAGCGGTAATAGTGTTACAGCATCGTCATAAGGGCGCCAGTCTGCAGGGTAATGAGCTCGTTCTCAAAGCGGGTAATTGTTTGTATTGTAAATGGGGGTATTTCCCATACGTGTCTACGGTTGATAGTGTTTTGGTGGGCGAGGGGCGATGGGGCGGCGCGCGGGCTGGGGGAGGTGCGCAGTATCGGCGCGGGCGCAAGGTGCACGTTATCGCGCCATTGTTAGCGCCGACAGATTTATAACTTCCCTTTGCCCTCAATAAGGGCCCGTGACCTGCGCACACCTTACACTCCTAAATAACGCAAATGCTTGGAACAATTACTCCAATACTAGTTTCATAGACATCAGCGGGAGACAAGGCAAATTCATTCATTAGCACTTAACGTCCGTTATAATATTAAATCTACCTATACTCGGTGTGGCAAAACCTGTTTTCAGTCGAAAATTCATTAAACATATATTTCACCAAAATAAAACTAAATTATACATATCATTGGTTAATTTTGGAATTTTGAATCCGCCTCAGTAAGAAGCTGGTTCATTGAAATTGACAGTAACCGGTCATTAATGGTTTTCTTGGGCTGAATTATTTCACAGATTAATATGTGAATGACAAAACTATAGTAGGAATGTTCGACGTACCTGGTATTGTTGGGTCGCCTGTGCCAATCAGGAGAGGATCTCGCACTGTCGCCCTCTGCTCTTTGCGAAGACTATTGATGCAAACATGACGTTCACCACACGGTCACGCACCTGAAAAGATTACAAAACCTAGTTGAAATAAATAAATACACACGCAAAATCGAAATATATTAGTAATTAAACAATTACAGAGCGTAAAATTATTAATTTCTTATTGAAAATACGGATTGAGTTCCCAGCAGTAAATTAGACAATCTGTGAGAAATTCTGCTTGGCGCCATTCCGACTCCACAAATGTGACGGCCAGTCATTAGGGTTTTTGTGCAAGTAAATATATATGTATTGAGTTAATTGTCTTCTATTGCTGATTTATTAACTTTAAAGTTAGTGGGAAACGTGTAAAAGTACAGAACAATAATAATGTTACTATTGGTGTATCATGCACATGCAGGAGTTCCTAACATAATATTTCTACAAAATAAATAATTGTGTAAGATGAAACTTTTTCATATATTAACATACTAAATGCTCCAACAGGAAACTCGTAACAATATTACGGTCAACCCCAAGAACGCTCCTCAGTGAACTCGAGCGTAAAGCAAGTTGATCCGCGATACTCGATCCTGTCATCTTATAAAATAGCTTGTTTGTATAACGATACCGTTACAACACAGCAGACGACATGTTAATAAACCCCTGTTTATTTTTAATTTATTGACTGGTATATCTCGGCCGTTAAATGCAATTTTAAAGTGAGTATCTCGGTTTAATTGGCCATTTTATTTGTATGTTTATTGTTGGCAGCCTGAACGGAATATGTTTGCATCGAGTGCTGGTGGACGTCACAAACGGTGATATTGATGATGTCATGCGTGAGGGCTGGCGGCGCGCGGCGCTGGTATGCGGTATGCGACGCGCTAGCCGCATAACGGTGCGCGCGCGACGTCTGCGCGCGTTCCCAGGCTCCGCGAGCGCTCGATCGACGCCCCGAGATAAGCCCCATTCTATACGAAACCCAATAAGCCATTTCCTTGAAACTCTCACAGGAGAACCGCTCCCGTGAAAAAAAATGACCAAAACTATACAAAAAAGGCCTGTGAATAAGGCAGGAGCGTGAAATAAGAATGGCCTCAGTTCTGGGAAGGCTCGGCGCCGGTGCAGTCTTTACATCCTTTATAATGATCTTTTTTGTGAAGCGACCCTTAATGGCTTATCGTGGGGCTGAGAATGTTGGCACAGTGCGAAGCGGCGTGTACCTTATTAGTTGGCGAGGCGCGGCGATGCGGCCGAGCGGAAATCGACAATCGGTTAGAGATTTAACTGTTGAGATTGTGTGTGACGGAAACGTCGTTGTGTTCAATGGTAGCGGCTGTAGTGAGCATGAATGACGGACTGCTCACAGTTAGAACTGCGGATACAACAATGATTGACCAATTTAGTAACGTGACATTTGCATATTACACTTGGATTCATCCTACACGGTGGCGAGACGTGTGGTGCAATTCGTGTGAATGTATAATGAACCGCTTTATGAGAGTACATCTAGCAGGCGGTGGCGAGGTGCACGGCCTGAGTACGTCCTCGGCGGGAGGAAGCGTGACGAAGGAAACGCTTATGAAATGGTCGCCCACGCCGCGTGCGCTGCGCCGGAAGCGGAGGCGCAGCGCACGCTCGGCACACTCGGCACCGCAGTGTGGCTGAGCCTGCCGGAACAATGTAATCAATGCGCGATAAAATGAGAGCAAAGGTGAGAGGACCGAAGGGCGTCATGTGTGCCGGCTACGTCACAGAGAGATGCTGTGACTCAGCGGGGACGAGGCACACGTGTCGCTGACGTCACATGCACCTGACTCATCACGTACTCATCATCTGGGAAAGACAGTGCTATAGTACACGCGCGAGGCCCACTGCCGCCGCCGCCGCCGCCGGCTACCGCTCAATGGGCGACTTGCATGCTATATCTGTTGTTAACTAATTTTATACTTAGACCGAAATCATTTCTTACAAATGGCATTTTCTTCACAATTCGGAATTCACCAGAAAATTAGTATGATATATAAAATAAAAATTCAAAGGTTCAATTTAATGTTAACCGGAAAATAGGCGATAGTGTAAATTTAACACCAGGAAAATTGTCTTGTAATTATTTCTGTGCCTTGGTAGTGTAAGGAATTATGTTTAGAGTTACAATTAATTTACTTTATATATTTTAATTTATATCAGTTGTGAGAAAAATTAACAAAGTTACTGAGCTATCAAACTATAGGTGCAATATGCACAAAGCTTAACACGGGTGGGGTAGCAATAACAATTGTCTTAGAAGTTTGTTCAATGTTAGTGATAGAATTAGATATAGATAAAATAATGTCAGTGAAAGTTTATATCACTTTAAGAGACAGATAAGAGGCAATTCCACAATGTTGCATTGTCTATTAGTGAATTGTAGTGGAATGCGGAGTGAAGTAAATCGGCTAAACAAGCAGAACGAGGGTAGGGCATAGCAAGTACTGGAGGGCAATGAACAGCCGGGGGTTAAGCAGAACTAGAGGAGAGCAGGGCGAGTGTGCGAGCGGGAGGCAAGAGTAGACGTCATGCTCTGGTGACGTACGTCCTGTCGGCAACGTGCTGCCGTCGCGCGCCTGCGCCCGCGCAGCACACTCCGCTGCACACACTGCTACCCCCATTCTCAACTGTCAACACTCGCTACCCCCGGCTGTCACATACACAACTCCCTAGTCTTAAGTATTCATCAAAATCTAAATGTTACAATTTGTTCCAAATCAACAAAAATATTAAGTACAAAATAAATAAAGTACGGATATTAAATTTGACTACCCTCATTAGACAATTATGTTATTTGAAATGTTTTTAGAAAAATTGAGAATTTCTATAAATCGGTGCTTGAATTAAGATTTAGCTAAGATGTTGAGGATGGGCGATGTTAAGGCAATAGTTCAAGTACAAGGAATAGAAAAACCAAAAATATATTTCTAGTCTTACGCTACTGGGTGTAACATTCCATTGATACAGACGGAAAATCACTATTTTAATTCACTATGCACTAAATTTCACAATTGATTTCGGTGTAGTGATTGAACGGACACTTGTTTCCAACACAATGCACGAAGTCCGGCCTCAACTAGCGGCGTTCACTAAACAACGTGATAATACAAAAAGAAGTCAGAGGTTACGATGTTATCGAGGGAGACATGAATATTCGAAGACGCGAGGGTCACGAGTGAACGGTCGTCGTAGCATCGCGCCGCGGCGTGAATGGAACGACCGACATTTTATGAATCGAGAGCCGTCGCCCATTGAGCTGAGCGCGGCGAGCGGCGAGCACCGACGGTGCGCGCGCGCAGCACCGTCGCCGCAGGGCCCACAGCTCGGGCCCGCACCGGCGCCGGTTCCGGCCCCGGCGGAAGTGACGCTCCAACCGAACATGGCGGCGCGCACGCAGGAAGTGCGCAGCTTACCTATCGGGACGTCTCCGTCGGCGGCGGGCGCAGCCGATACCCGCCGCCGTCCAGCGCTTGAGCAGCGCACGCGAACCCGCATGCGCCGATACCGATATCCGCAAAAGTGCGCGCGATCACTACCTTGCGAATAAATTATTCGTGCTGTTATCTAAAAATATTCGTTTGCGACGCAGAGCGCTCGCAGCCCGCAGCCCGAGCCGACACGGACTTGCACACGCGAACCGCTTCCCCGCTGCGGGGAGACTGATGAGGGCAGGCCGCGCCGGCGCCGGCGGAGGCTCCGACGCATGCGCACACCGCCGTCCGTCCCTTTCCGCGGGCATGCAATCGTTGCGGAGCGAGCGGGACGACGACAACTCATTATCACAGCGCCGACTCGTGAACACCAATAGATCGAGGAGTAGGGACAAAATATTCGACCTTCACTTCACAACGCACACGAGCGCGTGCGCTGATCGCGTCGCGACAGCTCCACACACATGCGCGCTCCTCGCAAATTACTCGCGGCCGCCGCCGCGCCGCCGCCGCGCCGCCGGTGTGCTACATTTGATAATTTTTCCAGAAAACTGACATGCACCGTCACCGTGGACGAGGCGCGCCCGGCTGCCACGTGGCCGCTACTCAGCACTACCACCGACCACCGACCACTGACCACCGTCGGCGACTACTCTACACTACACACTAACTATACCATATTCAATCCACTGCTGATAACGCTTCCAATATCTACCGACAATCAATTTATGTGGAACAATAGATTAAAATCTAATTTCAAAAGAACATTTTCGTAGAAAATTACTTAGAAAGCTTCACTTTTATATAAGTTCTATTCATCACAAAAATTTTCTTCGTCTATTCTATAGGAAAGCTACAAAACTTCAGAATAATAAAAATATCAATTCCTTAGATCAGATAGGAAATATATCACACAATGTTAAAGAAAAATAATTAGAAGGAAATTAAATGATTTCATTTATCATTAAATATAAGTTAAATGTGAAAGTGTTGAAAAAAACTACTAATATAGTACAGATGTTGAACAACATAACATTGAGAGTAGATTTAATTGAATAGAATACACTGTAACAAATTTTTGCAAGTCAAGTTTTTCATGGGAACTTGTAAATAATCCATAATTTAAAACTAATTTCAGTTAATGTTTCAGTTTAATTACACATTTTATTTATTACTTATTTTATATTAATGTAATATTTATTACTTATTTTATATACAGTACTTAACACCCATAAGAAATAAAATTTTAGACTGTGAATATTAAAAAGAATTTATATATTTTTTTTAATTTGTTCATAATAATTCAAAACATTTTAAATTGATTTCAAAATGTAATTGTAATAATTTATATGAATTATAAAAGACATATAGAAGTATTCACAAGTATTTGTAAATTATACAATTGCTTCTTTCTTGACATTTGTTGAATTAGACCCAGGTTATTATTCTCCAAAGGATTACAGAAAGATACAATTTTATTATAAATTAAAAATTGGAAAAGTATAAATTATATATTTTCCCTTAATTATAAAAAATTAATGACTTTGTCTCTATTGCAATTTCAAATTGCAATTCTGACTTCTGTGTATTTGTAAAAAAATAAATATTATTATTATTTAATAATAATAATAAATTACTTTTCCGAATATAACCAGAATATTTTTTAAACAATTTATATTAACATTTATACACATATAACATTCTATATACATAGAAACAATGGATGCAAAATTCAAGAGAGATTTGCCGTATAAAAAATTAAGCAAAAAATATTTTAATACTTTTTAACTTGATTAATTTTCTTAAATAGTTATATTAGCGGAATCAACTTATTATAAGTCATTAAAATTATCGGATAATGGTGAAATACACAAAAATAAGTTTCATTGCAGTGGGCTAAAAGGCGGCTCACTAGGGCAAAATAAAATGGTGTTATTTCACAAAAAATACATGAAAGTGTTAAGTTTTTTGATAATTTCTAATAGGCGCTGAGTTATAGTGCGGGTAGACAGGGAAGAAGTACGCAGGAAGTGCGTGCCAGTGTTGCCACACGCAGCCGTAACCATGCGCAAGCGCTGGGGAGCCGCGCGCAAATTTTGGCGCTATTCCTCTTCTAACTTAAATTCTATATTTATTTTTTAAATAATTATATTCTAATATTAATCAACAAATAATCAACAATGTCCTCCGTATATTTTTAACATTTTAAAAAGCTTTTATTTTTTTTTAAAGTCTATTTTCAAGGAAAATAATAAGTTTTATATATAGTAGGTATTTATTTATTTCTGTATAAACTAAAGAAATTTTTTAAAAGCGTTTATATTATAAGAAATAGAAAAAGAAACATTGTAATTATAGTTATAGCTGTAAAAAACCGAAATAGGTATAATACCAATGAAAAACTGTTTGTGGAAACAAAAATAATCTTCTCTAGATTAGGTTTTTATCATAAATGATGCATTAGGCATAGTGTCAGTAGATATAATTATTATAATACCTATATATTTACTTGAACAACTTTATAACTATATAAAAGTCAAAAAATAATTTAAATTACTTTATATGTAAAGTGTTTTATGTCAGGTTAAATTATAGAATAGACATAGATTAAGAAAATTTAAAAATACCTATACCTAATGCTGTCTATAGGACATAGAATGATTTTTGATGTGTATGTGTGTGTATTGGAGTTGTGTATGTGTGTAAATCGCGTTGGAATCCGGTATCGTTATCAGTACGTAGGGCTGAGCCTATCTAATCTTGCAACCACTTTAGCTCTTAGATAAAATTCACTTCTTTTTAAACATATTTCAACAATTTACTTCACACGTTGGCGCCAATCATTCATTATTCCTCTTTTTCAGAAAAAAGCAAACAAAATCTTATTTTTTAAATTTTTTTCTTAAACATTTTATTTCTAAAAAAGTTTTTTTTTAATTTCATAATTATTTGTTAGTGTAATTAGTCCCTGAACAAGTCAATTATAGTTTTAATTGAATATAAGAGGCTAATATTTCTTTGAATTAAACAAACGTACTGAAGAAAATGTTGAACGCATTTAAAATAAAAAGAAATGAAAGGAAAATTTATGAAAGACTTTTTTCCATGTGAGTTACTTCTCTATAAATGCTCTCAAGTTTTGAATGCTACTAAATCGAGTAAAACAACTAAGATCCTAGATTTTTCAATTATTAGGGCAAAAATATACTAAATTTTCCTACTTACTGGCAAATGCATTAATAAAAAACCTTTTTTAATAAGAAAAAACGATTTTGGTCATGTTTTGTTTAAAATTTTCATAGAGAATTCAGTAAAGTCAAACGCTTTCTTACATTTGTTCAAAATATATCTACTTGAACAACCTAAAACTGTCAAATACTAAAGAGATTGGCGATTAATAAGACAATAAAATATAATTAAATTATCTACCGCCAAAAATATTTTTCATTTAGATTAATTATACCAAAGTTTCAGTATAATAATAATAGCAACCCTTTAAGCAATTTCTTCAATTCCCTTTAATAGACATGTACCGAGAGTTGCAAAAGTAGGTAAATATAAAGAAATTTAACTAAACAGCTAAAATGAAATTCAAAGTGTTAAAAAATATATTAACTACTTGTCAGTTATTTTAAAGTTTATTTAAATTATAAATGTGAATTTGGTACATTTTTGCAATAAATTGGCAACACTGTAGCGGGTAAGAACCTGATTTACATTTCTGCATTGCCTAGCAAACCTATGTAGGTAGTTTACCAAAGCAAAGTGGCATTGCTACTTAAAATAGTGTATATTAAAGTATCTTTTTAATATTATTATTACCATTTAATGTAATGCATTGAAAGATGTAAAAAATGGAGAAGGAAACTTTTAAGCATTATGGGATTTAATTTTTAATTAATTTAATTATTTATTTTTAAGAAAAATAAACAAGCCTAGTTCTTTTTTTTTGGAATTCTAATCAATGCGTGTAAATCAATCAATTTAAGGAATTTGATCACCATAATACAGAAATTAATAAAATAAAGAAAACTCAAACATTTTACCTACAGGAATGGAAAATATTGTCTACAAAAAATATTGGTCACCTGTTTAATTTATTTTTAAATTAAAAAAGAAACAGCCAACTTACCTGTTCATTAGGAACACATTTAAAAAAGTCACATTTCACATATAGGTCTGAATTATGTCATATTTTTAAAATCAAGACAAATGTTTTCTAAGTCAATTTCACAAATAAATCACAACACTATAAATTTTAGTATGTCCGAAAAAATAATGCACATTTGGAAAATCCCACAATTATTCATAAAAAATATGAAAATAGGTAACACAAATGTATTGAAAGTTTTAATTGTTTCAAGTATTATGGAAGAATCACATGGCACAACAACCTCCGTGAGCTGTTGTTAAACAATTAGAAGTCAGGTACTCCGGCACAACACATCAGCCCCGCCAGCGAGCGCCAGCTTCCACCCTCCTGTCTTGTCACAGCAGTCGCGCACTAGGACAATGGCATATTGAGCTCGTTTAAGGTTCGCCGCCTGATTGCATGACTTATAAGAATTGATTTGAATATGATCCGGGCTAGTCAGCTGCATGGCCGGCGGGAGCAGTGTCGCGGCGCAGCGGAGGGCAGCCGGCGCGGGCGGCGGTGAGCTGCACTCGTCTTCTCTCAGGCGTGACGTCCGGCCGGGGTCAGCGAACGCAGGGCCGCCGATAGCTTTCTTGTGCCCGACAAACGACCCTCCGAGATGTCACTCACGTGTTTTCTGTCGCCCCTTCCCGTGCGACCACTTCCCAACGACTATTCGTCCCGTCCTCGCCACCGCCACCGCGCGCCCTTTGATGCCTCGCATTGCTTTCTAATGAACTCACGAAAGAGGAAGTATTCGAAACATCGGTCGTCATATTATGAAGCACCACTTTATATTTGTACACAAACACACGCGGGACCCTCGTGGAGTAGTATCATTAAGTCAGGGGGCTGTGTCTCGTTAATAGATAATTGTTGTGCGATATCATCGTTTCTTCGGCGCGGGCGCAGCCATCAGCGCTAACAGATTAATCGTGGCAATGTATCACACGTGCAGTCCGCGCTAGCGGCCCTTCTATTTGTAAACCGGCGCCGAGGGCCGCGCATTCCTAGCATGCCTCGTGCCCTGCGCCCGCGCCACCCGAACGCTCTCCGCTACGGAACTACCACTATCCACTATCGGTGACCGCCTCTAATACCGCTAACATCCTCCACTACATTCTAATTTTCCCTACATTTGCAGCAGTGTATGTCGTCCAAAGCGGTATTACCACTAGGCCAGTTCGTACACTCGATTCTGAACTCTAATGCGGCATTAAAACCAATGCTACTGTAACTGTCAAACAGAATATTGTTGAGAAGATTTCGTCAAATTCTTCAACCAAATATGGAGTTGTAAATGGTTTCGAATGGAAGGTTTAAATTATTCTAAAATGCTTAAGTAATTGTTTTGTATACTGATATTAATAATATAAAACGATGCATGAAACAGATGTAACGGAAATACCTATATCAACTCTTGAGATTTTCTTACTACAGCTAAGATTTTTCGTAGCAGCTTCGTAGTCATGTCGTAGCGGTTAAGGCTAAGTAAGAGGTTCTTCTCGAAATCAGGTTTAAGTACGTGCTTAAACACTGGTTTTAGGTATATTAAGTAATCAATGCTTCAACGCAGTAGAAAGAGTTAAGTAATTTGGAAATAAGGGCTTGAAAACAAAGAAAACGAGTATACTCAGCTAT